CGTTGGATTAACAAAGCTTGATTATCTCGGCCATGGGTTTGGCAAGTTAGTGATAAGCCTCCAAATAATAAGTATTTTTCATCGTAGTAATGTTAAGATTATGAATCTTCCATATTTCTGTGTTGGGAATTCTTTTTTTTTTCTTTTTCAAATCTTTGTTGTGAATTCTATGTTTGTTTTGGAGTTCATATAATTCAGTTGACCATGCAAGCGAATGATGAGAAAGATTGATGATGAGCTTTTGAATGTTTGTTATCGGGGTATTTCCTGTGAATTTAGTTTGTTAGTTTCTCTATTCTATGATTGTAATGTGGTTGCTTTATTCAAATTTCAAGCTTTGGTGTCATTCCAATGATTGAGAAATGGTTGATTTTTTTTCCTTGTGATTTACATGTATTGAATTATCTTTTTAAGTGTTGTTGAACTTACTATAGAACTGATAATGTTCTTCTGCTCAAAAGAAACAAAGGAAATCATATTGAAAATATACTTCAAAGCTTAGTTTCCCAACATTTCAGCCAATTTTTCTTGATTTGGATTCATTGTACAATGCATTAATGGTGGTACTTGTGGTTGCATGTTAGGTCGTTGATGTCTTCTCTTTCTTGGAGAGGTAACAGATTATGTGTTGCTCATTTTGGTTTTCTCTTACTCAAGGAGCAGAATCTGAGATTTAGCAAAGGACGAGAGATCCGACGGCTGAAAAGGAGTTAGTTAGATTCTTGGACAAGATCTCAACCCTTAAATAAGAGCCTCCCTATAACAACTCGGATCTTTTTTTCTCTCTAACAACCCTAAATTGAGAATTTTCTTTTCTTGTCCAAATCTCCCAGTTTTCTCCATCTCAATGGATATCGACAAATCTGGACGACGAGTTATCGTCGTAGGCATGAAGACGAAGGAAATACGTGAAACATTCGCTAGTAAGATATCTAATCTCTTGCTCGAAATCATAAATTAGGATTCAGTCAAATCAATCGTAATTGTTTATGCGTTCGTTCTTAGATGCCGAAACAGGCGTCTTCTGGGACGTGGAGGATTTCCCAGTCACCGATCGTGTTTTGTTTGATCAGAATATTAGATTAGCTCTTGCTAATGCTGGTTATTATGGTAAAGTTTCAATTACGGCTTATGGTGACAAGAAACGGGAGGATGAATATAAGGTTGCCGGAATCACCTTTGTACCCGGAGGTTAAGTTTTTTAACTCTTTTCGTTTCAAAATATAATTTGTCTCACACTGATTAATTTGCATTTACAGGCTCTAAACGTGCTAGAATGCATAGGATGTTAGTGGACATGCATTTTTGGGGAGTGGCCAATCGTGCTCTGCTAAGAAACATGATGGTACTCGCAAAAGACATCATGCCGGATGAAGATGTTTACCAAACTCAATTCGAACATTATCTTCAAGTTATGACCATGAGATGTTGGAATGTCGTCTTAGCTGTGCCTGATGACTACCAACTAGAAAGACTGCCATGTCAGGTGAACTGGACGGTATGGCGTTGGAGTGATCTACTTGCTGGAGGACATCCTCTAGACGATAGCCTTGTATATCAACAACCACCACTGGAGGAGATAGATAGAGTGCTGAGTGTGGAAAATAAGTAATCAAAAGAGCCTTTGGTGTGGGCTCGACAATAATGTTTCTCTTCAACTCTTTTGTGTATTTGGGGGTGTAAACTCTTAATTTGCAGTTTTATTTCTTTCCCGTTTCAATCAAAACAGTTCAAGATGTGTGTGTGAACCACAGTGGTCTGCAGAAACTTGCGAGGCGGTCTCTCATTGCTAATGCAATAGACAGGTAATGTTGTTGAAAATCCCAATAGACATGTATCGTTGTTGAAGGAATCTTCATGGCACAAAGAAAGAACAGGCTTTTCCCCTGTTCCAACCAGTTTAAACCTGAAGGAATCTCCAGCTTTGATCCCGTTTACTTGGCAGAAAGTTTTCCAACCTGGTCCGATACAAGTATAGTTGAGTCTTTCGTAGTGGTTCAATGCTAAAGTCCATCTTCTTCCCCATTCATTCTTTAAAACTATCTCACTGCATCCTTTGTCGAGACATTTTGCTTAAATTGTAGGAATCTAAATCTAACCAGTCGATCAAATCTTAGGCTCGAGGCTGAGACATATGCCACAAAACGAGAATGGTCTGATGAAGACTCTG